CAACTGTGAGCGACAAAAAGTAATTAAAATGCATTCCCAGCGTAATGTTTCATTTACATTTCTTCACAATTCTAAAACGAAGTGCAGATTGGAAATCAAGCTGACTCAAAATACCAACGATAGCAGGCTCTTTTCTTCAACTTCAGCCCTAGTATTTCGCTTTTTTTGTACCACCAAACCGTACAAGAACAATGATTAATGCCACCTGCGTTATCATTGACGCAGTTCGCGCTATCTGTGCGTTACATTCGTAAACATTAGCTTGCAGAGCACAAACATGACAAACAGCATTGCTTAGTGATCAAATCACACCACTTGAACCGCAAGCAATACAGCTGTGAACTGCTGGACTGGTTTGGTGGTAAAAATAGCTTTAGTAAAAATAATTGCTCGCGAAGAAAAAAAGACACATTGTCCACTCTATGTTATCAATCTATAACATGAAAGAAATTCCACTTTCATTTTTCACTGAAGAGTATTCGAAGTTTGATGATTAGTTCATTACAAAAATGAATTCAATTGATGATGTTATAGCACCCTTTTTTGGCTAAAAAAACACTGAAAAAGGTCCACACAATTTAAATATGTTCCACTCTTTTTCTTTCAAATCTGATTCATAATCAATAAAGGCTGATAGTTTCTAAAGAAACTGTTTGAAGCTGCGTAGGTTGGGGTAACGAAATAATTTGAATATATCAACAAAGTTGAAATTGGCCACTGTTACGATTATGAAAGCTGACGTTTCGAGCGTTAGCCCTTGGTTAGCCCGAGCGTCAGCCCTTCGCTCCGACGAAGAGCTAACGCTCGAAACGTCAGCTTTTATAATCGTAACGGTGGCCAATTTAACATTTCAACTTTGTTGATATATTCAAATTGATTCATAATTAGCTACAAAGGACAAATGATACCAATTATTTCTTCTTTCAAAAGAACCCAAATGCTGGGTAAAATGCGGGCCTGGGTGAATATACAAAAATGCAACAGAAATGCATTTAACATGTAGCTTATGATTTTAAACAAGCCTCTGGAAGGAAGATTTAATAAAAATGTGATCCTTCTGACAATGGACTGAAATGAATTTTTAACCCGATCTGTCTTTATCTCAACCAAACCATTGACCTTAGATTAAAAAAAAAAATTAATCTTTGTTGACCCTTTGAGATTGACTCACGTACTACCGGAATATGAAACCAAACCAAACATCGGCGTCAACCTTTGTTTGCTTTTCATTGATAAATTTCCCAAATTCTTACCGGTGTACTACAAGGGCCCAGCAATGAATCTCACGCCAGTCCCTGCTGAATATGAACTCATCGCCGTGTCGATGTACAGCGCTGTCATCGAGACGAAGGTGACCTCACCAATGGTGACCCCGGTGGACACGACGATGACTCCGGTGACCCGTAGAATGACGGCCTCAACCAGAGCGCATGACAACACGCCGGTGATACCCAGTCCCACTACTGGCACCAGAAGAGCCTTGTGCGACAACTTTAAGACGAAGCAAGGCAAGAAAGAGGTAATGACGAAGAAAGGCAGCGAGGCAGATATTAACAGAGACGGAGTGGGTACTAGAGTTTCTTCCAAGATGTCTTGAGATGCCGAGATTCCAATTGAGAAGAAAGTCTGGAGGATGAAACCAAACACGCCAAAGGCAAATATGTGAAGTGGTTGTTCGTCTTCAATGATATGGCTCATTTCACTCTCGTTTCGAACCGGATCGAGTTCGGAGTCCGAGCCAGCTGAGTTCATTGTACATGTTTCCGTTTCATGATCCATTGTCCAAATTTCTTCTTTCTTTTGTTTGTTTTGTTCAGAAATCGCACTACAATTGATAAATCTTGAATAAGGTGTGTTTTATCTCTTCCATCAAAAGGAGATATCATTCACCATCTGTTCAGTGAAGAAACCACAAGTTGACCAACCCGGATTAACATAAGTAAACCTGTGGACAAGGGTTGATAATCAAGTTCATATTGACTAAGGCTTTCTGTTTTTGGGCTCAGTACCAGGGCGCACGGCATTTCACTGCTTTTGTAATGAGCAGTTGGCCCGCCCTACGCTTGAATTACTAAATGACATTTATTACCAAAGGGAATAAATAAATTTTATGCAACCTGCGCTGCGTTTTATCATTACCCCGGATGGGTTACATCCGGGACTTACAATGGCAGATACTTGAACATCCGAACATGTGATTTCGGGCCTCCTCCGGCTTTCACGGGTGCTTAAACCAGTCAGGAAGTTTCGATATTTTTAAATTCCACACGTACCACTACCTAGCTGCAACTCATTGATTTAACTGCGATAATTGACGTCATTTTTGAAGAGAAAAATGTGTCGTCTATATTCAATGCCTCTTTTTCAAAGCAAACCATGAGGTTCAACCTTTCTTGCAGTATTAAGTTTTCATTCACTAGCACATAAATCTCGTTTTCATAAGAATGGTTGCCGCATTGACCAAATTGACTATTGGCCGAAGGAAGGGTTCATAAGTTATGTGGGTCAGGCAGCATGCATGCAGTTGGTTGGACTCTAGCTCACTGCTACGGCGACTTTTCATTTCCACTTATCCAGGATTTTTTCTTTTAAAGCATGGGTTTTTCTCTATTGCAGGCTTATTCTCTGTGGCGCTGAAAATCTCTCTAAATAATCACGGCTCTATACACTGATAACTTGTT